TTAGAGAAAACTACAACAAAAATATATTGTCATACCAAAGAATAAACTACCCGCCAAAGTGGCTAGTGAGACGAAAGTTATTACCTGCCACGGCCGAATTTTACCTGCATTTGGCGGGTGGGCGGGTGCCAATGTCAAGCCCTGGTGGTGAAGATCAGACATCACAGTCAGCCAGTGCACCTGAAGCATTTGTGGTCAAGGGCCTTGTTCAAGAACCCAATGATGACATCACAAGTCCAGCCAAGGAATCTGAACCAGCAATCTTCCAATCAGTTACACGGTTCTAACCCATAGAGCCACAAGCTGGCTATTCCACTTCGTTAAGTAAATGAAGGATGCTCAAAGAGTCTTTAGGACTGACAATGAACTTCTTTCTGGTGGGGGACAGTTGTCATCAGCATAACAATAATGATATATAATTACCCTGAATTTATATATAAATGATCTAGTACCACTTGGTTGGTCAGGAAAAATAGATCAGAATAGATTGCATGACTGTGAACAAATGTGGCCTTTAGAGAAGTGTATAATATTAGGGCATGAGGGACAATGTAAATGCCCCCACCCCGAAAGCTAGCCCCCTGACTGGGATAGGCGGCATGATGGATGAGTATGTAGAATAGGCTTTATTTATTCATTAATTGTTAAAAAGAGAAAATTATTAGGCCTGATAAAACAACACATTTTAACAGTTACGGGTATTTTTAAATAGTAATTTTCAGCACAATCAATTATTAAACATTTGCACCATCACAATCTAAAGAAGAAAACATATTTAGCACTTCTACTCAAGAGTGGGAAAGGTCGTGTTTTTGTCAAATTAAAAACGTATCTCGTCATTCGTTTTCCTGGATTCTGTATAAATTGTGAAAGCAAAAATGGCAAATTCTGTGTCTGCTAGTAAAATGTTAGTGTTGTTTTAACAGCGGCCAGATATTCTCAATAACATTCTCACAACTTTAATTTTTGGGAAGCATTTCCTGTTTGCTCAAGTTAGTCCTAATTTGGCATTTTATTCATTTGCCATCATTTTGGCAGTATATCGCAATTCAAGTTTTTACTTTGATAAGACGTGTAAAGGGGAATGGGGCTCTGTTGGCTGGAACACAAAAAGACAACGCGCAAAACTCGGGGCTTTCGAACCACAAGCTCAGGAAATGCGTGATAAAATACCACGAACAGGAAAACAGCTGGGAAAGCGCATTTCGCAACGGGAGCTTTGTCGGTCTGAGATCGGGAGTATGTGTAGAAGACCCGGAGCTGCGATTCAGAGCCGGTTCGTCGGTGAAAGATTTTTTAAAGCGATAGGCCTAATCATTGCCGGAGATTACTCCCTGAATAGATTTCCAGATTTCATAAATTATCACCATGCCATAATCCTTGTAACTTTTTAGCGCTTATGAGGATGTAAAGTCAAAATAGTTCATTTGCTCTTTATGCGTGCTTCAGCTAAAACAGGAAAACAACGGAGAAAAGCAGAAGACGGGATTAATTCAATGGACCGTTCTCTTTCTGATCTGAACTGAAAGATTTCGCGCAAAAAAACACAGGAAACAATCCATTCTATACGGACACGGAGAAAAAACATCCAGGTAAAATGCTGTGGCTTTTTCACGAATTCATCTGGATACAATTCAAAACGTATTCAAAGTTTGGCTTCGTAGCCCACGTTAAAGGCTTGTTTTTGATAAGTGAGGTACGTGCACCCCAGTCCTTACAGGATAAGCCCCATGATACATTTATCTAAAGGAAATTTAATTTTGTTCTAATCTCGCTGTTCTTTGCTGTCACTTTTACACATGCTTGTAAAGTTTTAACGTATATTGGTGTGCGGGTTACTTGTGACTCCCGTGTCACCTTTCCGCTGAAAAATTAGTCTCCTTTCTGGAGATTAGCGGTTTTTCATAACGTAATTTACCACGGCGCTGACAGGCATGTAATCCGGCGTCATGTGATCTGGATGCGCTGTCCTGGCTGGGATTCATGCCGATACGCAAATGTACCCACTTCGTTATACAACTTAAACTACTGGTAGTTAATCGGCGTCTTTATTGTCTGTTCCCTATTATATTAGGTTGTAAACCGTTGGAGAAGGATGTTTTTTCGCTTTTTTGTGTTATGTCGATGCAGTTCCTCTGGTTTATATCACTTCAATCTAGCTAATATATGTTCTAACGGCTTGCCCTGGTCAGGGTCGCGGGGACGTCACTTTAATAAAATTCAGTCTCATATTTATGTATAAACCGAAGGCGAATACATTTCAAATTTATGATTTTCTTGATGGGATCAGACGAAACATAAAATAACCTTTGTAGCCTACTTTCATATTCATATTGTTAACAGTTTTTGCTTTTGAAGACTATGAATGAACCTCTAGATCAATATATCAGTAAATAAATTTTGTATTAAAACACCTAGAGTCTAGGTCCTAGACTGTCACAACGACGTAAAAAAACGTATTGCGGAGAAATGTTGAGCCATATTAATAAATGATATGACAGCTCTTTTAAAATTAATCCTACCATATTTATTAACCACTATCGATTTAATTAATACTAGCAGAGGCAGGGAAGCCCACAATTTGCACGACGCTCGGGGACGCGCGCCACGCACACGCAGGGCTGCCGGTGTTCTGACGAGTTGAGCTACCTATCGAGACGTGCTATCGGGCCTTTCTGCGCATGTGCAGTTCAACCGTTTTGGGATTAGGGTTAGGTTTTAGGGGTTAGGATTAGAGTAAGGGTTTTAGGGGTTTTTGGGGGGTTAGGGTAAGAGTTAGGGTTAGGGCTATCGATTAGCACTACGGTAGCCTAACTCGACAAAGTAGCTCAACTCGACAGAACACCGGCTCACACGCGTCTGGCGTGACACTCACATTTTCTGACTAACGCTCACGCAAGAAATCTTACGGTAAATATGTATTACGGTAAACACTCATTACAAAACATCCTATTTGGCGCCATCTATTCCAATTTTTGTCTAGATCCCGCATTTAAGATAACACCACTTTTTCAGACGAAGGGAGGAAAAACTCGTCTTTTATATTCGGGTCAACACGGTATGTATTAGCTTATTGCAGAATGAGAAGTTTGACTTTTTTTTTGTAAAAGTTTTCTGTTATTCCCACTGACATGCACTGACCCTCACGTACACCGTGTGGCTGGTTGCATTGTCTCCGTGGCAGAAAGGTGTCATTCCTGCATATCGAGTACCCAGGAGCCTGGCTGGGTTCTTAGAACAAGAAACTGGTGTTTGGAAACACGAGATTTTGTGGGAGGAAAAAAAACAGTAATATTTTTGGGGGGTTTCCATAGCTGTTTTTAGAAGATTGTAGAGGCTCATATATTTTCTATATTTTATATTCCCACAATACATTGTCCACGTTTTCTGAGTGATGTGTGCATGTGGACCTGTGGCCTGGACTGGGACAGACACCTACAGTAAACTGTATACGTTTATTTATTTATTTTACACTTTGATCCATGTGCAATTGACAAAGTTGGGTCAGTTAGTCCCTGGTGCAATTGGCGTAAAGGGTGAAATCAATGCTAAAATGACTGAGCCTACCACAGGACCTGAACCCGAGACCTTCCAATCACAGCTACAGAGTCCACCCTTAGCCACACTCCGCCTGGAGCTCCTCCATCCAGCACAGCGCTGGTCTGAGGGACTCTGTGGATCGATTCTGCCCATCTCTTTTCAGCCTGTCCTGTATATTGTGCTTCCCACTTTCATCAACGCCCAGACCGGCTCTCGCAGTGTTGGATGGGAGGTGCCGACATCGCAGCCTGTCGAGTTAACAGGGTCAGGATAAGGTGATAAGGAGCAGAATGTGAATTAAAGGTCCTTCCGATAATTATCTGTCACTCGATGACTCCGAGCGATATAGTGCACGTTTGTGTGGTGTATCTGTGCTGTGTGTGCCCTTAACGCCGATGGAGGCTCTCTCGCACTCCCGACAGAGATGTACACTCCTTCAGCGGTGCTCCTGGTTCTCCTTCGCCTCGGCATGCGGTCCGCAGGAGCTCCACAGCGTAAGTGACGCTCCTGCCTGAAACTCACATATCATGCGGCTCCCCTTTAAAGCAGCCAAACAGTCCAGCTACACAGCTGAGGACGTTAAGCGTAGGCGCACCGCTTTGAAATAGCTGTGGAAAAAAACTCATTGTGTGGTCAATTGGTGGGGCCTCCTTGTGCAGGTATTTATGAGCATATTAATGTATAAATGAAGGTATAGATAGAAACTGGGTAATACAGTGGTGTGACATCAAGTGATGGGGGTTCAAATGTGTGTGTGGGGGGGGGGGGTCCATGTTTTCCATGTGTTGTGAGGGCTTCCACAGTCTGAAGGCATGTAGTTAGGCTGGAATCTCTAAAAACACAGTGTGTGTCTGTGTGTTTGTGTGTGTGCGCACATGTGTGTTTGTGTGTGTGTGCTTGTGGGTTTGTGTGTGTGTGTGCGCTTGTGGGTGTGTGTGTGTGTGTGTGTGTGCATGTGCGTGTGGGTGTATGTGGTGACGAGATTTTCCCACAATGTGATAAAAACTTTTTACCTTGTGGGGACATTTTTTCAGTCCCCACAAGGATAACCTAAATTTTATAAAAATCTGTGAATGCAATCAAAACACAAAAATAGCCAGAAACCTTGTATTTCGTTTGGTTACTTATGGTTAAGCTTAGGGCTGGGTACAGGTTAAGGCTACCATAATTGGGATTAGGTTTTTACCTATAGAAATGAATGTAGAGTCCCCACAAAGATATGAATACATGGACTGTTTGTGTGAGTGTGTGTGAGACCCTCAAGCGCATATTTGGAGATGGACTCTTATCACCCTGAAACAATGGGAGGCAGGGCGTGTGCGTCTTCCTGCTGCTACCGGCCCGCTGCTCCATTCCCATGATGCACTGGGATCCCCATGGCACCAGGCTCTATTCCCATGATGCACTGGGATCCCCATGGCACCAGGCTCTATTCCCATGATGCACTGGGATCCCCATGGCACCAGGCTCTATTCCCATGATGCACTGGGATCCCCATGGCACCAGGCTCGATTCCCATGATGCATCCCCCCTCCAAACAGACTCTGTTAAAGGGAAATTGCCCCAAATAGGGGAAGGGGGTAGTGGCTGCCTAATTAGACGTGAAAATGTCATAGAATGGTATTTAAAGGTCATGTTTATTTTGTTAGCTCTTGTTTGTGGACCAGGTGAGACTTCAGTGAGATCGGGGGGTGATTATTCTGTTCCAGATTTGTTACAAAAACTGATCACTCTCAATCATCTCACTCTCCACCCCATCCATATCCAGACCTGGCCTCTAAGGGGAAAGTTCAGTGCACATGCAAGAGTACGGAATGTGACAGCGCCACCTGCTGGGGCGACCTATGCTATTTCACCGTGGTGGAGGGCCGGGAGCTGAGGGGCTGCTTTGACGTGGACGAGCAGCTGCAGTGTGTCACAATGCCCGAGGTCTACACCAAGTGCTGCTTCTCTGACCACTGTAACACCAACATCACCGCGCCTGTGGACACAGGTCAGCCACATCACATCTGCCAGCAGTGCGGGGAACATGAAGGAGTGGGAAGGATAACATTATGAATTCATTGGTAGAGAATGGCACATTACTGGCGCCTAGTGGTTGTTAAGAGTACAGCGGCTCAGCGTCTGTCTTCTTTCATCCATTTTCTAGAGCTTCTTCTACTATGTGGGGTATTTGCTCGCCAGGAGTCCCTGAGGAAGCGCAGGGCATGAAGCAGGGGACATTGTAGAGGAACTTTGTCACAGGATACAGAAACATTACGGGCTATTTAGAGACACAAACCATCTTTAGGGGAACCTTACCCTGTACCCTGAAGATAAGAGGTCACAGCGCTTCTCACTGTAGCACCATTAATATTATACAGAGTGAAAAAGAGTCCTATTTATAAGTGCAGCTTCTATGTTTATATATATATGGGACACCAGGTTAACTGGGAATTTTGTGCAGGTGAACTGGGTAACTGTTCAGTAACTGTGATCCAATATAAACAGTTTATCAGTGAAGTGCTCTACTCGGATAAATTCAGCACAAGTTTCTCCAGAGCTACCGCCAGCGTTGAGGAGGCTGTGTAGCTCGGCACATGCTACCTCTGATGCCCTCTCTCTGCACGTCCAGCGGATGAGGGGACAGCGGTGCTGGTGGCCATGCCTGTGCTGGCGCTGCTGGTCCTGTCTGTCGGACTCGCCGGGTTTATCTGGTGCTGGAGGAAGCGGCAGGTCAAGCGGTGCCAGCGAGAAGACGACGGGGTCATGGTGCCCAAGGTGTCCAGCAAGGACGAGCCCACGTACGGGGTAGGACTCCGGGCGACCGCGGGAAGAAGAAAATGGCCGACTCTGTGCCAGGAAGCGGGAGGCCCTGTGTGTCTCATTGGCTGCCTCTGCCTGTCTCCCGCAGGACATGTTTGATGAGTTCTGCACATCTGGCAGCGGCACTGGCCTGCCCTACCTGGTGCAGAGGACCGTGGCCCGACAGATCATGCTGGTCGAGTGCGTTGGTGCGACATGTTCCTCAGCAAAAGCTCCCATTGTCCCCAACCCCATGTCACGCAGTAAAACGTTCACAGCAGACAGAGGCCCAGAATTCTGCCTCACAGATACCCAAACTCGTTCCCAAGAGTTCGGGCTCATCGATGAGGACAGATCTGATGCTGCCTTTCTTTTGCAAGGAGACAGAATCAGCGCAGCCTTGTTTCACCTCCTGCGTGTCATGGGATTATTTCAGGGAAAGGACGCTATGGTGAAGTGTGGCGGGGAACCTGGATGGGGGAGAACGTGGCCGTGAAAATCTTCTCCTCCCGGGACGAGCAGTCCTGGTTCCGCGAGACTGAGATCTACAACACTGTGCAACTTCAGCATGAAAACATCTTAGGTGAGTCAGCCCCACCCCCAGACACCAGAGGGCGCTGTGCATCTATGTTCTGAGTCAGGATCCACTCATCTAACAGATACGTCAATGTTCATGAATATATTTTGTGTATGTGCAGGTAACTGAATCCCTTGGAGTTTTAGCAGGTGTTTATTTTGTCTAACGGATGAAATACAGAGGGTAAAGAAAGAGGAGCATGACAGTCTTTCATCTTATTCACATCACAGAACATGTAACATTCTCCCTGGTGGTGTTGGGGCACTGCTTCCAGTGTGAGGAGTACAGACATGGCTGACACATTCATGCTACCTTGCAGTTTCACATGCTCTTAATACCTCAGACTGCTTGGATATTATTTGGGTTATTATGTTCCAGGTCAGCTTTGAAACGCTTCTACCATTCCCAGGGTTGCCAACTCTCACGCATCTGGCGTGACACTCACGCTTTCTGACTCACGCTCACGTGAAAATGGTAGATTACCTGGATTCAAATAACATTCTGAGGGATGGCCAGCATGGATTTAGGAGAGGTAGATCCTGTTTAACTAATCTACTTGAGTTCTTTGAGGAAGCTACAAGAGAAATTGATCACAGGAAGACCTACGATGTGATCTACATAGATTTCCAGAATGCCTTTGATGTTGTCCCCCACAAATGGCTCTTGCTTTAGCTCAAAGCTGGATTTTAGGAACTGTGGCAGCTTGGATCAATAACTGGTTAACAGACAGGAAGCAGCGAGTAGTTATTAGAGGCACAATGTCACAGTTGGCCTGCGTTCATAGTGGGGTACCACACGGTTCAATTTTAGGACCATTATTGTTGCTAATTTACATTAATGATATTGACACCAATACGTACAGTAAACTGGTTAAATTTGCCCAAGGTGGGTGGTGTAGCAGATACTGATGTAGCAGCAGAGAGGCTACAATGGGATCTGGATTTAATTAGCGACTGGCAGATGAAATTTAACATCTATAGATAAATGTAAGGTAATCCATGCGGGGAGCAGAAATATAAAGTACAGATATTTTATGGGTTCCACTGAAATAAAGGTAGCTGATTACGAGAAAGATCTAGGTATGTATGTTGATGCTTCCATGTCCCACTCTCCACAGTGTGTGGAAGCAATAAAAAAAGGCCAATAGGATGTTGGGTTACATTTCTAGGTGTGTGGAGTTTAAGACAAGGGAGGTGATGCTACGATTATATAATTCCTTGGTAAGACCCCACCTAGAATACTGTGTGCAGGTTTGGTCACCATACCTTAAGAAGTAAATTGCTGCCTTGGAAAGGGTGCAACGGTGTTTTATTTTGCTGCATAAGCATTCACACAAAGCACATGGAGTGGAGTAAATGAGACAGTTTATACCAGTTTGCTGTAGTGAAGAGGCCATCAAGTTTCCTCTGTTTGTACCCCATTGAACCTCAGGTTTCATCGGGTCAGACATGACGTCCAAGAACTCCAGCACGCAACTGTGGCTGATCACACACTTCCACGAGGCGGGCTCGCTCTTCGACGTCCTGCAGCACCGGAGCCTGGCGCCCGACAGCTGCCTGACCATGTGCCTGTCCGTGGCCAGCGGTCTGGTGCACCTCCACACGCCCATCCTGGGCATGCAGGGCAAGCCCGCCATCGCACACCGGGACCTGAAGAGCCGCAACGTCCTGGTCAAGAAGAACGGGCAGTGCTGCATCGCCGACCTGGGTGAGGCAGGGCGGACGAGCATGGCTTGGGGGGGTAGTGAAGTTTGGGGTCAGAGCACAGGGTCATTTATCTGACACCCCTGGAGCATTTTTCCGGGTTAGGGTCTCACTCAATGGCCCGATGGAGATGTGACTACTCATTCAATGACGGGATCAGAACCGACAACCTTCTGATCATAGACTCAGAGCCCTGTCCTGCAGATCCACTTGCCACCCCACTGCTCTGTTCGTTCAGGCCCAGTATACATCTGATGCACCCGTTGTTCTCCCTCAGGCTTGGCTGTCATGCAATGCGAGACCGGTGACCACCTGGACATCGGAAACAACCCTCGGGTTGGGACCAAGCGCTACATGGCCCCTGAGGTTCTGGATGAGACCATACGGACTGACCAGTTCGCCTCCTACAAACAGACTGACATCTGGGCCCTGGGCCTGGTACTGTGGGAGATCTCCCGCCGGACTGTGGTGAACGGTGAGTGACTCCACTTCTGCTCCTCAGCTAAATCTGGCATCCTGCTGTGTTTTTCGCCCTTTATCAAGCCAGACAGGTAACGTGTGTAAGTAAGAATGTTCTGATAGAGTTGCCTGGAATCAGACGTACGGTTAAGGATTTGAGTTTTCAAACAGAAGCAGTCTGGGAAGCCCTTTTGTGGTCTTTTTTTTGCGGGCTCTCTAAATAGGACAGCATGGTAATATTAGGTCTGTGATAAGTTCAGTTTAGGCTTTTTTTTTTCTCTGGAGGTTTTGAGGGGATAGCTTGGACTGAAAATGGGAGGGAAAGGAAGGAGAGCGTGGGAGGACAGCGGCAGTGAAATCGAGACACAGCTAAAATTTGGTGGCCCTGTTGCTGCACACAGCTGTTCCCGCCTTGAGCCTGGTGTTGTGTAGAATAACCTGTAGTCCGTAGATGATGATGCTGAGGGTGGTGCCACAGTTCAGTGGATGACCCTGCAGCCCCTGCTTCTGAGTGTGTCGTGTGCATGAGGTTTTGTTTGGGTCTTGCAGTTTCTTCCTACAATCCAAAAACATGCGATTAGGCTAATTAATGTCTCTAAATTGCCCATTGTGAGTGATTATTTGTATGTGTAACTAGGGATACAGCAGTATACCATGGTGAAAATGCTATCATGAAAATTGATAGTAATCATACCGTGTATATTTGCCTATTACTGGTATTTTAAAAGAGAATCTCTGCTTCGGAAGCACATCTCCTTCACTCCTCACCAGTCTGTCAGTCAGACTGAGCAAGTGCTGCCGTTATGTGGAATCTCTGCCAGGGTGTCACTACCCGACCCGTACCACCTGCTCGAATCCTACCATGCCTCCACCACATGATGTTTCCTGGCACTGTCCCATCTATTCATCCTGCCATTTTATGGTGAACATATATTGTCTACGGCAGGGGTCTCCAACTCCGGTCATGGAGAGCTACCGTCCAGTAGGTTTTCTATCCAACCCGGCTTCTGATGAGCCACACCTGTTCTCAGGTAAATACCAGGAGCAGGTGTGGCTCATCAGAAGCCAAGTGGGACAGAAAACCTACTGGATAGTAGCTCTCCAGGACCGGAGTTGGAGACTCCTGGTCTACGGTAATAGCAGACTACACTGGTCACTGGTCGCTAACTGGCAGGTTGAAAAAAAACCTTGGTCTGGATTTTGACTTTTCTGAACTGTCCACCTCTGTCTGTTATGGATTATTTTGTGAGTAATTTCCCCAACACTGCCTATGTGTAACCTGCAATGGACTGACCTTGACCTTGGGTGCACTGCATCCTGGGAAAGGCTCCAGACTAACCATGTACTGGATATGCAGGTCGATGGATGGATGGATGAATGGATGGACTTTGAGCCTTCTTGGTATGTCTTCATCCACACTCAGGAATCGTTGAGGAGTACCATCCCCCCTTCTTTGACCTGGTGCCCTCAGATCCTAGCTTCGAGCAGATGAAGAAGGTGGTGTGTGTGGACCAGCAGACGCCCAGCCTCCATAACCGCCTACACTCCCACCCGGTGAGAGCGCCGCACTGAGGTCTTGAGATGCTGTCAGATCTGGGATCGTTTTCCCAGCCTGACACATTTAGGCAGCTTCCAGTTTACCTCCAGGGAAATGCAATGTCGTGTCAGCAAACAAAGTCAGGAATGGAAAAGGGGTTTGTTTCAATACCCTGTGTGCAAGATATGCATGAATGTGCTTCAGAATAAGAGTTTTAGCTAAACAAAAGGCTCTGTTTACAACAATGATATTCAGCCATTAAAGAGTCTCAGAAAATTAATCACCAGACCTGCTCTCTAAGCACTAGTTACACAGCACCATAAAAAATCTGAGGCTGAAAAAGAAAATATTTAAAGTTACTTATCTGGGCAGTAAGTGTATATTTTCTGAGAAGGAACAGCTGCACAAAAAAAGCAATTACAATTTAATATTAGAATATATGCAAATGAGGAGTAACATAATGAAAAGTAACAAGAATTTCTTCTGTTCTCCAAATAATTGCTGATACCTTGTTGAATGGCTAGAAGAACAGAGCTTCAGTTCCCAAACCGCTCCTCAGGGGCACCTCAGCCATTACATATGTTTTTTAAATTTCACAACCACTTCACTTAATTCATTAACTTAATTAGTTACTTCATGCGGTACTCATTAATGGTTGACTCAACAGATACATGTATGTATAGGACGATCGCACATCATTTTCCTTGGCAGCCTATGACTTCTGCAGTGCGCTGTACTTAACGCCTGTACACGCAGCCTCACACCAGTTCAGCATCACTGCTGCTGCTTACATCATTTCAGAGGCTTTACTTCACCTTCTGCACATGATGCACATCTCCGAGCTGAGCAGCAAACACCAAACTGTGAATTCCACTTTTTTGGTCCAGATTCTCGCAGCCATCGCCAAGGTCATGAAGGAATGCTGGTTCCAGGACCCCAAGGCCCGGCCCACCGCCCTGCGTCTGCGCAAGACCCTCTCCAAATTGGACCAGGACATTGACCATGGGCTACACAAACTCAAATTGGACTTATAGCTTCCCTGAGATCCACTCATTAGTTTTAACAACCCTGGAGCAGTTCACCACTCCTGTGGGCGCTCCAATAAGGGAGATGCTACCAGAGCAGGCTTTTGGACAGAACTGGGCTCTTATCCATTATTTGGGGGGGACCAATGAGACATTGGATTTTTTATCAAAAAATGTGGTGCACATGTGCTTTCTTAGTGTCAGGTCCTGATGAACCATGAACAGCTGTCTGGGGACATCGAAACTTAACAGAGACATCAGATCAGGAACTGCACCTTCAAAGTCCTGAGTCCCACACACAGCATTGATTTTAGCAACGTCTCAAGATAACATGATGTCCAAGAATGCAGCAAGGTCCCCGTAAAGACCATGTCTCCGAATGCAGTAAGGTCCCTACTCACAGCAACGTCCCCGCATAAAACCATGTCTCCGAATGCAGTAAGGTCCCTACTCACAGCAACGTCCCCGCATAAAACCATGTCTCCGAATGCAGTAAGGTCCCTACTCACAGCAACGTCCCCGCATAAAACCATGTCTCCAAATGCAGTGAGGTCCATGCACACAGCAATGTCCCCACACTAGACGATGTCTCAGAATGCAGTGAGGTCCCTACTCACAGCAACGTCCCCGCATAAAACAATGTCTCCGAATGCAGTGAGGTCCCTACGCGCAGCAACGTCCCCGCATAAAACAATGTCTCTGAATGCAGTGAGGTCCCTACGCGCAGCAACGTCCCCACATAAAACAATGTCTCTGAATGCAGTGAGGTCCATGCACACAGCAAGATGCCCACACAAAACCATGTCTTTCAAAGCAATGATGTCCTAGCATGTAGCAGCGTCCGTGCACAAAAAGATTTCTCCCACCCTTTCGATGGAGTTAGATGCCAGCATGCAGCAACGTCCTTGCATAAAACTATGCTGCCGAATGCAGTAAGGTCCATGCACACAGCAATGTCCCTGCACAAAATGATGTCCCTAAATGCAGTGAAGTCCCTGCAGGCAGCAATGTCCCTACACAAAACGTGGTCTCTCCACACCTAGCAAACTGTTGGTGTGGTCAGTAGCCATGGTCTCCACTAATGATCTTGACTTTCATCTCTTGTACATGAGCTAAGAGGGGCCTGACATTTTATGGACCTTGTGATTTTTGCCTGTGCTTCGGAAACGTGACATGTGCAGTGGATCCTGAGATTGCAGGAATGGCCGGCTATAAGCACTTATACTGAGTTCAGCATATCCCTCAAGCGTGCAGATCAGCTCCACATTCCAAAGGAAACATGTTTGCACTGTGTTTAATGTCAGTAATGCTGGGAGGATTCTTACTCGCTGCGTGTTAGAACAGAAATTTCATATCAGCCATGAAAGCTCAGAAACTTGTTTCCCTTGTAAGCAGATTTATTTAAAATGCACTTTGTATAATGCTATGTGATTTTAAACATTTGATTTGCTGAGAAGCTATATTTTTATTCACAATATACAGGGAATATGTTTATAAATATATTATGCTCAACTTTTGAACATTTTTATCCTTTATTCGTGGTCATAGTTGTAAATTGGATTTTTCCATCTGTAATGGTCTGTTTCTTAATGGATTATTACTTCACTTTAAAGTTACACTTAATACAGAAAGTATCTCTCAGGTTAACTTGGGCCCTTTTAACTAAATATGGATTGTAAACCTTAAGTCTTTTCTTTTCTGATGAACATAGTCGTGTACTAAGAAGGGTACCGCTAAAGATTTGGGGCCCCATGCAGTCATATCATATTGGGCCCCCAACCCAGATCAGTCATATTATGTTACAAATGTTTTAGGGCCCTGGGTTCTGCCCTATCTTTGCCCCGCTTTATAGCGCCCCTGTGCACTGACACATTAATGCACCTCCTCAGTGTATTAAAGCTATACCGTGGTAAGAAAGTGTTTTACAAATCCTCATTACTAACCATCTTCTCTCATGAATATGTTCAGCTGTATGGTCAATATTAAGACAAGAGCACCATTGATGCTACAGCTGTTGTAGTTCCACTGATGACATAAAGGGCCAGTGGGAAAAGGTAGGAACGCATTGGAGAGAATGTGGCTGGTGAGAGACGCTCTGACCACATACACTTACTGTGATGCACTCCTTGCCTGTCACTCAATAACTCTTTGGTTGTGGTTTTCCTTTAATATAACGTACCCGTTCTCTCAGTCTCTGTACTCTCGTCAGGTGGCAGCGCCTCTGTCCGTGTTCTGAGTTTAAAGGAATAGTGAGGCAACAATTTCGCCGTGCGCTCCTTGTAGGAGAGAGCAGCGAACGATTCCTTCTGACCCACTTATGTTCGTGTGTGTTTTTAATTTTTTTGAGCCCACGCCCAGTGGCCTGTACTACAAAGCGGGGTTACTGGCTTATCGGGGTAACTTGTTGGATTTAAGGTAGGCTACCACAGTTTAAATGGACTTCATATTCGTTCACTTACATTTTGCCCAGACTACCTTAAATCCGACAAGTTACCCCGATAAGCCAGTAACCCCGCTTCGTAGTACAGGCCACAGGTGCCAGAACACAGCACTTTCTCAAATGTAAAAAGCAGCTTGTTACTAGGGCTGCATCTCAGATGTCAAAATGTGCAATTAGTCATTGTTATTTTTTCAGTTTCAGGAACACTTTCGCAATTGATTCGTGTTTAATGTATTATTTATCGCGATTGCAAAATGTATGCCTGTTAAATATTGCATAATTTAATTGCCAGGTAAATCATACACATAGCAAACCCAATATATTTAGTAATGTGGGATGCTGTCAACGGCGCTATAAAAAAATTAACAGCCATCAGAAAGCAACATGCAATGGGATTAAGTACAATTTTGAACGGTATTTTAATTAAATGAATCCGTTTCACATGATTAAGTTTTGCGTCGGTCAGTGCTTCCTTCATAAAACATCTTCCCATGACCGAAGCAATTTTTTTTTCTGATTTTCTTTATTTTTAACATTTTTAAAATTATTTTTAAGGGCTTAATTGTTTGTGAACGGATTTAATAACGCTATACCTGTGTGATGGTGGTGTGTTTTTTTATTTGTGCATAAGTGTACGCGTCTGCAGTGCGCCTGCATCTAACTATGCGCGTGCGGATCAGAGAACCCGAGACCTCGTAATGCTTCAAAGCTTAAGTCCGCTAATCGGGCTGTGGGGTGGGAGGGGGCGCTGGAGGGGCGCCGACTATTGAAGAGCGACGGCCCTGCTGGTCTGACGCTTTTTTCCCCCGGCTACATAGTGGTTGTGTTATCCCCTGTTCTGCTGCTCAGTATGTGCACGTTGCCCTTACATGTGACCTCCTCGCTTGGCGCCCTCCGCTCTGGAGCTGTGTCCAGTCTGCCCACGGGAGCCCACGTCACACGGGGGAGGGGGAGGGGGGGTGGGAGGAAGGCTGGATGTGAGAGTGCAGACGCACGCCGTCTGTACCGCCCCGATCAGTCTGACAGCTCGGTAGCTGCGAGATGTGCAATGCCTTTATTCACACACCAGGGGGTTTCAGGACAAAACAGGACCGCAGGCATTTCAGCAGAACCAAATGGGGATTAGAGAATACTCAAGCGTGGTATTTCAGGCACATAAATCTGCTTCAGCCTAACTATCAAGAATATTTTGGCAAGTGATGTTGATAATTATACACTGATTTATTCTCTCTATGATTTGTGAATATTATTTTGAAATGTAAGACGGTCATGATAAATGTCTTACTTTGTGCACTGATTTCTTTTTGTTTATGGTTTTGTCTTATGATCTGAAACTATACTACTGAAAAAAATGTTGAAACGTCAGATAGCCCTGAAATTACACCAGGATTGGGTAATGCCAGTACGATCTGGCAACCTGGTGCAAGTTAATTCAGAAAGAGAAACAAAATACCATGTAACCGACACCATCCTAAAGGTTTAATGATAATCTGTGCTGAAAAATGGGGCTCAAATTAGCCATTTCACAGGTACCCAAAGCCATAGCGTAAGACTGGCTATTGTTAGCATGGGGTGGCAGAATTCAAAGGTTGCAATAGGTATAGGGCAGCACCCTGGAATTCTGCACGGGGCCAGCACTCACTGGCAATGCTCAGCGGTGAAACACGCTCCGGCATTCCAGTGCCCGTGACTGGTCTCGACAGGTGCCACCCAGGGCTTTGCCAGAGTTTTTGAAAACATTCCCGGCAAATATGTGCTGAGCGCCTCAATTTTGTCACAAGCTGATCCGCTCCTGAAAGCCCTGTAATGGCAGGGCAATACAGTATTGCTGGATAGTAGATGCGTAGGTTTATTGAATGACCCCGTATTGGGGGCGAGCTTACACCCAATCAGGAAAACAAACTGGAGATTAAACAGGGATGCCTCCATTGCACTCCTCCAAACCCCTATTAAAGGCAACACAAATCACAGACACCCCCCCATACAAACACATAGTATGTATTATATACATAGCTGCCACTGATAGCCTATGTGCTGGACATCGTTGGTTGTTTGTAGATGTGGTTTTGTCACCACACAGTGCTCTATGAATCCCATCAAGGCTTTTGTTTGTCCACAAGTGACCCAAGCTTATGACCAGCCAACAACAGCCTCTGGAGGAAACCTTAATACAAGAAGAAGAGAAACGTCTATTTGCATGGCCGACACTTGGTGTCCTGTGTGCCGGGCTCCTTGTCAGCAGGCGGTGGGCGGGTTGTCTGGGAGCCACCGGGGAATAAAGTTCTCCCTGGGAAGCAAGACAAAGGCCACCAAGACGTCACCTGGCAGCGCGACGTCCCAGTCTGAGCAGAGCTGGCGGTCTTGTCTCATGCCAGCCGCTCAGACTGACCCATCTGTCTTATAGATTTTCTCCCGTCTCACCAGGGAGCAGTGGAGAAATAAAGCCTTTGAAGCCAGTTTTTTTGTGGCTGACACCAAAATTCCCAACAAATCCTTGTTGTAAGATTTTTTTTTTTTCCGCTGTGATTTTTTTTTTCTTTTAGTATCAAAGTAACTTTTAATACCAAAATAAATTTCTTCAATTTATCATGCTAACTATAAGCCAAATTATGGATAATATCAGTTTGATATGTTAAATATATAACAGGCCAGCTGGTAGGAAGGCTACTCACATTCTAAGTCTGTATGTTTGTATGTTTAACTTGAAAAACATACAGTGGAGCAATGAAGAGAGTATAATCCACGGGATGTTATTGAGTTTTATGTATAATGTTGTATAACCAAGATCGGATTAGTTAATGTGATCTTATGACAGGGATGATACTAGGCCAAGGAAACCGCGAAGTCTGACGTAGTAACGTGGACACGTGTGATGTTTTTCTCAGGAGTGTGATTAACTCTTCTGTATGGATCCAAACAGGCCCTTCTGATAAACACACCTAACAGCCGCCACGCCTAGGTCTGTGAATGCACTTACGTCTAGTCAGGTGGAGCAGGAAGAAAGTATCGGATGAACTTTGTGCCTTTTCAACGCAACTTAATACAATAAAAAATGTAAAGAGGATCTGTCCTGCGGGCACTTTCCGAGACACACAAACACAGATCAGTTAACTGGGTGCAAAATTCTATTGTCTAGCTTTAAAAAATGCCACCTATGCTCTTTACAGTAAAATCGTACACGCATCGATTGCACATTCTTTACCTTAATTATTTTATTTATTTAGTCGTTATTTACAAAATATTTGCATACTAAGAATATTTATATTTTGAATAAAAAAAAATAAATCCCTACACTTAAGTTTCAAACTCCTATTATTATTAATATTATTATTATTATTAATAATAATAATAATAATAAACAGGATGCCCTTCTCTTTTACGGCCCCACAGTAAAAAGCGAGGTGATGAAGCTAACTGGGTGCGCGTCGCCTTTAAGAGGCGCATCCCTTTAAACGCGTCCCTGCCTGCCTGGCGGTCCGCTTCCCTTGTCAATATCGTACCTCTCATGCATTAATGCCTTGCGATGGGAATCTTTCAAACATGGCTAAAAGATACGCCGGTCTGAAGCTGCTGATCCTGCTCGGCTCGCTGGCGAGCTGCGACGGTGGGTACTCGGTGGCTTTTCTGCGTCCCCCCCAGCCCTGGGGGCATTTGAGCGATCTGCTCCAATGTATTTATTTATGCGATCGCGGCGTAGGGGGGATCGGGATTGGGGCTAGATCTGGCATTTCCCGACTCTCAACATGGCGCTTGGATTTATTACCAGCAGCCTGCGTAGCGGGGCTGGTCCGCCGGCCGCCCGGGTCGCCCGGCCGTCTGTATGGCGTGCGGCTCCGTCCCCTCGGCGCCGTCGGCCGCACGGTCTCAGCAAGCGCGCATCGGCCGCCTGCGTGGTCTCAAAGCGCCGCGCGATCGGCGGCAGGCAGCCAACTTTAACGACACGGTGTTATTACGGTGGAAGGTGGGAAGTAGTAGTTGGAGCCGAAGCCCCTGCGCCAAGTGCGTGATGTGCGCCTTCGGACTGCGGGTCTTGCTTGCGGAGCGGCTTCTGGGCTCCCGGTGCCCCGCATTTGCGCACGGCGCAGGTGGAGGTGCCCGGCGTCCCGCGTCCGAGCCGAGCCTCCCTCCAGCACTTGTGGAGGATCCGGCAATTGGAAGGTCAAATTACTAGACTAAATTGACCTTTTTGGAATTTCTGTATAAGGGGCAACTGAATTGTTTCACCACGAATGAGATGCGTTGGTGAGACTTAAAACTACCCAGACAGTAATCCTCGCGACTAGTTTACATGATTGGATGCACAAATTTAACTCTTGGGACCCGTTTACATATGACACTCATTTGTGCGACCTGTATCCTTTAATAATCTTTAGGGCTTGTTTTCATACGCCTTATATCGTTTTATATATACCATTCTTTATATAGTGCTACCCTTTTTAAAGAATATTTGGCACATGCTAGGCAGCTGGGTGA